TCTCTCTCTCTCTTTCCCCAACTAACTATCGAAGCAACTGCCGCGCCTCCACAACTCCCGCACGGTCACCAATGACCGCGTGCGCCCCCTACCACCCCTACCACCTCTCTCTCTCTCCAACTAACGACTGAAGCAACTGCAGCGCGCCCACCAACCACCGCCCGCGCCCTACCACGTCTCTCTCTCTCTCTCCAACTATCTACCGAAGTAACTGCCGCGCGCCCGCAAAATGCCGCGTGCCCACCAACTACCGCACACCCACCAACAACACCACACGGGCGCACTAACTACCACGGCAGTTGGCACAAGGAGGAGAAGAAGAAGAAGAAGAAGAAGAAGAAGAAGAAGAAGAAGAAGAGAGAAGAAGAAGAAGAAACTACTAACTTACCGGTGGCTCTTAAGGATGGTGGCGATGACGGCTAGTGGCTCGACAGGCTGAAGGAGCGACGGGCTGGAGGAGTGACGGGCTGGAGGCGACGGGGAGGGCGCGCCGTCAGTTCCGAGTGTGGAAGGTCGAATGGGCGGGGTAGGGTCAGTACTCCCGCCCAAAACGTTTGAAAACGGTGGCCTATCAGGGCCGCCGATCTCTCCAGATCGACGGTCCAGATAGGCTGCCCTTTTAAAATCCTTTGGGCGGGCCTACTGGACCCGGTTCAATTTTTTCCGGCCAGGCAACCTCCACGCAGGCCGTGGAGGCCCCCTGCCCCCCCCAAAAAAAATCCAACCGACCCCCCTACGTCCATGCGCTGTGGCCCACCGGGGGGAAGCTGCCGGTAGGACAGGCCCGGTTCCGGTCGGGGGTGGGGGCCCCGGTCCTACCGGGTTTTCACCCTTGGCTGAAAGTGTTTTTTTTTTTTTTTTTTTTTCCAAATATAGAAGGGCAATGGCCTTGAGTTATCATCATTGAGCTGACCGGCCGCAGGTACATGAGAAGTATTTTGCTCCGTTCATCTGATCCCGTAGCTGGATTTGAACTTGGGTCTGTATTTCAACAGTTCGTTGGGTGTACCAACTCAGTTGCACCTCCTGATGATCTAGGCAGGCGGGCCTTGCTGTGTGAAACACGTGTTTACAGTAGAGGGTTACCGCTCTCGAAGACGCTGCTGCTCGCTCGCTCGATTCTTTTTATTGTCTTCATCCAACTTTTATTGTCTTCGTCATGTGGAAATTGCTCTTGCAACTTTTATTATGTATGGCTATGAGCGACGGGTCCTTCTGATGAATGACTTGTTGTACTCTGTCGCCTGCAATCAGTCCATTTTCGACTACCCCGGCTGTCCCCTCCCTCTGTGTGGGTTTTGTGGTGATTTGGCGGGTTGCATTTTTTTTTTTTTTTTTTAACGCAGTGTAGCTGTTAGGAGGGGTGATATGCCGATGCCAACAGTACTTGAGAATTATTTTATTCTGTTCATCTGATGCGGTAGCTGGATTCAAACTTGGGTCTATATTTCAACAGCTCATGGGATGGGTGTACCAACTGAGTTGATCTTTTTTGTGGTGATGTGGCAGGTCGCAAAGATGCTGACAGTGAAAAGAGAGAGGGAGTTGGAGCAGGGGATTAACAAGAGGCAATCAAGGAAGGTGGACAAAGCGTTCCAAAGGACTTGCTGGGAGTTGTATTGAGGGTGCTGGCTGATATGTCAGTCATGCGCACAGAGACCTAGCTAGCAAAGGGGAGTAGAGGAAAACAAACACGTCTGGGTTGTGCGCTGGTTGGTGGAGAGGGAGGGGAAAGCAGGGGCGAAGGGGGACACAGAAGGTCTCTGGGGTTAAAAAAAAAAAAAAAAACAGAAAAAAAAGCTTTAAATTTTGAAAACATTAAAGAAGATTTGCTTTGAAATCCTGTTTGCCTGGGGAATCAGTTTCTCTCAGCTTCCACACACCTGCCTGCCAGCATGGACAGTGGACACACAAAAAAATTATCCTCTCGGTACCTGTGCAGCGCCAGTTGCAATCCCCTACGCGTTTCTTGTCACTTTTTTACCAAGTTAGAGTAAAATTCGGGTAACTTCTTTTACCTATTCAAGTAACTTTTTACCTATTCAAGTAAACTTCTAACCTATACAAGTAAACTTTTTACCATTTCAAGAAGTTGCTTTCAGGCCTGCTTTCTCAATGTTCTGGCCTGTGAGCCATGATATGGCACAGCGCATATGACTGTGACGGTGTGTGCGCGGCGCCCTCTTTTGGTGATTCCAGTCCCCTTCTGCCGTCCGTCGCAGTGAATTTATTGCTGTCAAAACAAGCAGAGAATGACAATGGGTAAGAAAACCCTAGCAGAAAAAAAAAAGAGGAAATGTACAAAAAAAAAAGGAAAACCTCCAGAAAAGACAGAAGCTTGGCCCCTGCCTGCGCAAAGGATGACACGCATCAATCGAGAAATGGTCCGAATTTGTCCTATCCTAGGCTGTTACGACTGCAGATTTGCATGTGATGTGAACGGACGGGATATGTCACAGCGGGAATGCGCAACATGAGCAGAGGAAGGAAGAGAGAGACGTGTATTAAAAGATGCGAAGTTCAAAACCGTAAATATCCTAAAATAAAAAAAATAATAAAAATTATAATATAAAAAACCGTAAATCCTAACGGCAAATGGAAGAGCCAAATCAAAGCGAATTTTGAATCCATTCTGATTTTTTATGATCGTTCATTGTTGTTGTTGTGTTGCACATCGCTGCTGAGGCAAAGCAAAGAGGAGATTCGCGAAGAGAAATTGGCTGAGGCAAAGCAAAGAGATTAGCGAAGAGAAATTGGATGGGAACGTTAGTTAGTGAACCGGATTTGTGTCCTTCGGAAACATCCGTTAAAATGGGAACAATACAGCCCTACCTATGATGTGCCTCTTGAGTCTGTCGCAGATATCCTGAACATCACGCGCTATGGAATCATCAGTGGGGATATACACACAAAGACATGCTGCCATATCTGTACTATGCACTTAAAGCGCACAAATCGCCCCCTGGGCTTCGCAGTATTGTCGGCGTCACAGAGCAGAATAATCTCTCCCTGCTGCAGCGATCTCGATCAGCTGCGCCATCTATTCATGCAGTCCACCATCGACCTCCCCATAAACCCTTGGCTAGTACTACCGTCGCTTCTGCCCGCCTTAGCGTTGCACTACAAGGAGTCGTTGAAACTCTCCGTGAGAAGGATAATGTGTTGTATCAGCAAAGCGGTGTGAGACGGTGCTGGATCGTGCAAAGTGCTGAGGAGGTGATGCTTGATCTCAAACGTAATTCCTCTTCTCTTCGTGACCATGCTCCTCGCACTGTTGATTTCACAACTGTGTATACCAATCTTCCTCATGACCGTATTTGTCATAATGTATCAAAGCGGTTGAGGAAGCCTATACATATGCCTTACGACAACACACACAGGGGCGCACACATCCTCCTACCCTTAACATAATTGTTAAAGGGCCCCGTCAAGGGGAGTGGATGGTTGATACCGGACCAAACACCTTGACCGTTTCCCAAATTCTTGAACATCTCCATTTCATTGTCACAAACACGTATCTTTATGCAGCGGACGACACCTTGCAACATCAGCTGATGGGCATCCGGATGGGGACTAATTCTGGTCCGGAGATAGCTAATTTGACGTTGTATTGGGATGAGGCTCGATTTGTTGATGACCTCCAGCAGTGTGATCTTCGCGCAGCTCAACGGTATGCGTTCACATACCGCTTGATTGATGATGTTCTCTCATGGGGACATCTGCCACCACCGTCAGAGCACTATGGCCTCGAATGGAAGGAGACCACAGCGCCTGATGGCTCTTGCACATTCTTAGGTGCACGCCTCCAAGTCCGCCCTGACGGTTCCCTGCGTATGAGTGTCTTTGACAAAGCAGACGAATGGAATTTCCATGTTACTCGTTATCCTAGTGCTACGTCTAACATCCCTGCACACAAGCCGGCGGGAGTGTTTACAGGCCAGCTTACTAGGTTTGAGTGTCTGCAACAACTGGTATGATTTCAAAACTGCAGCAGCGATGCTCACACGCCGCATGCTTTTTCGCGGGCACTCTCCAACAACGCTTGCGAAAGGATGGACTTCCTATATTCGTAAACGTCAACACAGGTACCCTGCGCACGTGACCCGCCTCTCCAGCTGGTTCCGGACCATGCTTCGATGGTCTATTCATCACCCGCTTTCTCGGGTATCCACACACTGTCCTCGGACTACTCCTGTCACAACCCCTTCTTCATTATCGGCACCTGTCACACCTATCACAGCCTCTTTTTCATTACCTGCGTCTACCTCACCTGCTTCCTCATCAGTTTTAGTAACCCCTTCCATGCCGTTTGTGATCCTGGCTGCCCCTTTTCCGTTCGCAGCCTCTTCCTCATCGGCCTTGGTTGCTTCTACGATTGATTCCGTGGGAGCAACTCGACCCGCAGCTGCTGTTTCGCCCTTGGTCTCGGTGTGTTCCTCCATGAGATTTGTGGCCACCGCAACTGCTGTTTCGCCCTTGGTCTCGGTGTGTTCCTCCATGGCAGCTGCTTTGTCGCCCTTGGTCTCGGTGCGTTCCTCCATGGCATCCGTCGCCATGCCTGCATTACCACATGCAGAGTGCCCTCTTCGGGTCTCACCTACGGCTGCCCCCCCTGTCTCCGCTTCAGCCACTTCACGACCACTGACGCCATCCCCCCCGTCTTCACCTCCTATATTTCCACTGGTTTTATCGCCGTCTGTTACCCACCTTCCGACAACTCTACCACCCCTTTCTTCACCACTCCTACCTCCTCTGGTTTTGTCTCCATCCGTTACCCCTCTTCCTAATCCACAAACCACTTCGTCCACACAGACTCCGTCATCAAGTTTTGCCCCTGCAGAAAACCTACTTCGCCGTCCTAGACGCCGACTTCGACCTACTTCCCAACCTCAACTTACTCCCCTTTCCTCCATCTCTGTTCTTGGACGAAGAAGAACCCGTTCATTCTCCCCACCACGGCCCTCCCCAACATCCCGTCCTCATCTTTTGCCGCCCCAAGCATCCTTATCACGCCTGCAACGCTCTTCGACTCCAAACCTTTCTGCAATGTGGCAAACACAAAACAGGAGGGATGATGGTGGCGGACCATCTGAGGATGAACTTGGCAAGGGTAGTGTAGGAGATTCTATTGAAAATCCGTCTGACCGGCCTCCATCGAATCTGTGTGGCCTCGCTGCTACTAGCATCTGTCTGCAAGCCTATCGTCGGGAACCATATACTCACTCTGATTTCTTGGCCATTGCTTCCGATCTTGATGCTCAGGAACGTGAGTTATATGGCGATAACCCGACTCTGCATCCCCCACATGATAATAATTACACTCGACATGGGGGATTCAATGTCTCTGTTTTGGAGACTGCTTTGACAAGGCGCCGACTTGATATGCAGCGTGCCCCTTCGGGTGGCGACCCGGACCACTGTTCGCACGTTTGTGCCTATATTCTACATGCTCCTGGCCACTACACCGCTCTTGTCCGTGCCTATGGTTCTTGGGAATTATGGAATGGCGGTGCTATGGTGCAAACTATTACTGCCATCTGTGATCTCGTACGTAATTACCCTAACCTGCAACTGTTCCAGGTCATTGACCCTATGGGTACCTCGTGTACTTCCATGCTCGCCTCTACGCCTATCTATGTGCCTGCCTCCATACCTATCTCTGTGCCTGTTTTTGTGTCTGTCTCCTTCCAGATTACTGACTCTATGGGTACCATGTGTACTTCCGTCCCCGCCTCTGCACCTGTCTCTGTGCCTGCCTCCACACCTGTCTCCATGCCCGTTTCTGTGTCTGTCTCCGTGCCTACCTCCATTTCTGTCACCGTGCCTGCTTTAGTCTTCATTCCCCCACATGCTGGACTAACACCTTGTGACCTCCTTCTTTGTGAGATCCCTGACACAGGTACACTTGGTTGTGGAAAGCATCGACTTTGTCGACATCTCTACAACCGTATGATTTTTCGGGCCCGCTGTCGGCAGGTATGCCACCTGTATCCGGATTGTGAACATCCTCTACATCCAGATGCAGTATGTCCCATCTGTGCCTGCGGGCGCTATAGCGAATGTGCACTTAACTGTGATGGTGAACGCCCCACAATCGTCATGGCCTGCAACCGGCATGCCCTATGTCGTGCATGCTTCAGAGGTATGGTTAATGCTAGCCGCCCTGGCTCCTGCTGTGACGAAGTTGCTTACCTGAATGGTTTTCTTCCTGTAGATCAGCAGGAGGGCTGCTACCATCGCCCGCATCCTTATGACAGTTGTCCTATCTGTCGTGATGGTCTTACTTAAACATACCTTGCACCCTGACAAAAATGTGCAGGTGCGCTGAAAAAAGTGTATAGCCTGCACCCTAACACCCTCAAAAGAAAAGTCTGAACAGTGAAAATGAAGATGAAAAATGAAGAAGGAAGTGCAGGTGCGCTGAAAAGCGAATGTGGTAGACGCTTCACCAAAACTGCAAAACTGTGAAAGAAAGAAGAATGCAGTGAAAGAAAGAAGATGTTTGGGTCACTCTTTTTACTTTTTCTCCCTCTGCCTATCGGTTTTCCTTTTCTGCTCCTCTCTTCCTTGTGTTTAACACCTCTTCCTTCGCTCTGCCTCTTTCCCATAGCGTGCAA